TCCCAAATTACTGTACAAGAGAAAAAATGGCGTCATTTTTTTTTTTTTTTTAACTTTTTCATTCTCCATTTTCATACGTTATAGCTATGCCTTTTCTAATATCTGGATATGCAATATCTACAATAGTGTTGAATCCCATTCTTTCATTCCATCCCGATTTTAACAGCTTCAAAATTATTTCAATTTCAACACGCAACCATCGTTTCCATTTCTCTTTCTTCTACCTACAATCTTCTGTTTCTCCATTTTTCACACAAAAATCAGACACTACAAGCAACCCCTTTTTCACACAAAAATTAGAGCCTAATTTCTTAATAAATAATTTCAATTTAGTAATTTAAACAATGTTGCGAGAGGTTGCTTGAGATCGATGTAGGCACTTTGTAATTTCAATTTGGTAATTTGATTAATGTAGACATTTTCTTAATAGAGTGCATGGGCACCTAGGCTGCTTGAGAGAGGGAGCTTGCGAGTGTAGTAGTGCAAGAAAGAAAATAAGGGAAGACAGTTGTATAACATTATAATGCAAATTTTGTAATTTTGTAATAATGAGATGCATTATTCACTACCTTGAATAACCTATGGTCTTATTGTTTTTTTCTCAAGCATGCAGCGCTTACTGATTTGGATGCTTCCACCTCATTCTTTGGTGTTTATGATGGTCATGGGGGTAAGTTTTTCTACTTCTACTGTTGTTATATTGCATACTAAATTATGGTGCATGCCATTTACTATGGCACGAATATTGTGAATACAAATCGGCATTCCTTAGCATATATCTATGATTCAAAAGATATGACTAGGCAAAAGAAAGATGAAGTGTTGACTGTAGGCATTTGTATACCATAATCTATGTCATGAGATCTTGTACTCACAAGTCACAATACAAATCCATTAAAGATTATAATTTGTTTGAATTGAAATAATGTTTTGCTATAAATCAAGTTTTGCTACCCAATTTTTTTGTTATCTGGTCAGTGCGTTATTGTTCTCTTATCAATGCCTTGAATTTCACAGGTAAGGTGGTTGCCAAATTTTGTGCTACATATCTTCATCAGCAAGTTCTCAAGCACGAAGCATATTTGACTGGTGACATAAGTACTTCTTTAAGCTTTTCTCAGGTCATTTTCTAATCTCTGATAGTCTTTAAGAGTTTCTGTTTGTGTTCAGTGTATGCATATTTTCTTTTAAATGATGAATTCTATATAATAGATCTTCTTTGAATGACATAACTATTTTCAGCAGCTTTATCATGAGATACTTGCAATTTACTTTAAGAGAAGCAAACTTATTTTGATTTAGGCAATTATGTGGAAAGTTGTTCCTTCCAATTGAATTGCTGAACTTAAAATTTATTGCAATTGGTTGTTTTATTCATTGTTTTTTTAATATATATAAACTAGGAAAAAAACTCCACACTATGCGGAGCCATCTCTTCGCACTCTCCGCATAGCGCTGAGCCATCTCTTCGCACAGTGCAGAGAGTTAGAGAGAATGCTCCGCACTCTTCGCACGATGCGGAGTGCACTCTTCGCATTGTGCAGAGAGTTGGAGAGAACTCTTCTCACTCTTCGCATGCACACTGTGTGGATCTCGGTCTAAAAGCATTGCGAGGACTCCGCACAAAATTGGTGCGGGGAGTCTCGGAACGAAATTGGTACGGACACTCCGTACAGCTCCACACCAATTTTTTTTTTTTTTGGACAGCACTCTGCACCTATATATATATATTAGACTAAATAATAATGATTTTTTTTAAATCTATAGATGACAATTTCAAAGATGGTGATATTGATAATGTCATACCACCCAACTTGATATATATTTAATATTTATCTTATGTTGTTGGATTTTCTGCACAATATTAAAGAGATGAAAAAGAAAATCAACACAAGAATTTACTTGGTTCAGCGGTGTGCCTACGTCCACGAGAGCGAAGTAGAGATTTCTTTTTTTAGTAGTGAAAAATTGGATTACAACATATTATTTATACTAACCTAACCTGGCCCATATAAGACTTTAAGGCCGTACAAGAAATACCCCTGTACCATACCGCCCCCATTCAGCGTCCCTAACAACCAGACAGTGAATTAAACCCGGGCAAGGCAGATGTCGTCGCTCTGCTCTGTGTCGGCATCGGCCCATTTGATCCAAAACCTGTGTTCCACTCTATATGAGCCACATGCACAACATATATTGAAAAAATAAAAATCTGAATTTTTTTTTTGAAATTCAGCTTGGTAAGTGAATTACGGTGTTTTGCATTCTCGATTTGTAAGTGCAAAAATCTGTATATAAAAAATACAATAAACTACAAATATGGTAGGCAGCATATACGGTAAGCTACAAATACGATAGCCAGCATATACTGTAAGCTGCAAGTAGGTAAGGTGAAAATACAGTAAATTGTTTGCAAATGCGGTAGGCTACAAATACGGTAAGTTGTAAATACGGTAGGTAGCAAATACGGTAAGCTGTAAATACAGTAAGTTGTTTATAAATACGGTAGATGCAAATACAGTAAATTGTTTGCAAATACGGTAGGCAGTATATACTATAAGCTGCCTGCAAATACGGTAAGCTGATTTATAATTTGTTATAAATGTATAAAATTTATTTAATATTGAATTTCTTGAGTATTAAATGTTTAATTCAATATTGTTTCCTTTTTTTATAATTCTATTTTCGAGAATTAAAAAAAGTGTTATGAAATTGCTAATTTTTAAATGTGTTTTTTCTTGAAAATAAAAATATTTTTTTTATGTTATTTGAAAAAAAAAGTTATTATAATTTTATATGCTTAATTTTATATTTTGTGAATTTTTTTTATCATGATTGACAAATATTCTTCCACACACGCATCATGGCAAAGTTTTTTTTTTTTCTCTCCGCACCTTTTTTTATTTTTACTCCGCACTTGATTGAACTATCTCCTCACCATGCGAAGAGGTTTTTTTTTTTTTTTTTTAATTTTTTAATATTGAATTACAAAAACCATCAAGCTTTAAAGCTTGCAGATAAAAAATCTGAATTCCTCTTTCTCGTAGTTGAAGCACAAACACAGTTTTGTGGCAATACGGCAAATTCTGGATGTGTCATTCCTGTGGTTGTAGGAGAAGCACTGTTTTGTTGCATATTTGAGAAAAAATTAAACTATTTTGTCCGAATTGATTGGACCGTGCTATGTACCGATGTGTACACAACTCAACACATGGCACGATTCACAGCTCATCCCTCACAAGGTGGGGGCCCATGCTCAATAAAAAATTCGCGGCCTTCCCATATGTGAAGGAGCTGTACAAACAGCTTCATCCGAATTTATTTGATAGAATGGTTGTCATCTTATAACATACGCGTGGATCTCGTGTGAATAAAAAAGTCCCAAAAAAATGGGATTCCCTTTATGAGTGTCGGTCAGGTCGTTCGTAAAAAAATTTCGGGCACTGTAGCAGCTTTGTTTGAGAAAAGCTAAAAAGTGTGATCCGGATTCCGAGCCATTGAAAGCTAACGACTTTATCTCTTCCATTGACTGCCTTTAGACCATTGACTAAGTCAGCATGTTCTGTCACTTGAAGCTCACATGCATTTCTGTCTCTTCTGCTAATAAACTATTAACTATTTGTTAGCATTAATGATGTCCTTAATAATGCTAAAAGAATAATCTCATGCTTCTAAAGTACTAATTTTTATGGTACACTTTTTACTATTTCTCTATCAATTGGAGAAAGAAAATTTTTTATTAATCATGTACCCACTTGATTATTTAATATTGTCGTTGGTATAATCAAGAAACCTAGGTCATTGTGTACAATTAAGAAAATGGGCTTTTCAAGAAAGTGGAGAGCAAACGTATCGGTGCGTTTTCAAGAAAATCGTCAATTCCATAATAAACTACAAAAGCACCGTTCCAAAAAGCTTGTCTAGAGAGTGCCTAGGCATCCCCTAAACTCGAAGCTCGGTAAAAACATTTTGTTTCGCGCCTAGATTCTATTTTTTTTTTTTTTTCAATTCTTATGCGGCTGAATTTTTTCCTTCATTTATTTCGTATTTTGTAGACGCATTTTCTCAATTTAACCATAAGCTTTGACCATAATATAGATCCAACCACTTTTTCAAATTAACCATAATGTTAAGGGATAAAATATCCCCCATCAAATAAAGGTATAAATATAGACCAACTTATAAGGTCTCGAACTACTCCTCTCCTCTTAATTAGGTTGACCTTTTAAGATGGAACCACATTCACAAATCTTAACATGATATCATAACTCATTAAGCTCTAACGAGCAATTCGATCAGATTAAGACTCCAAAATGAGCACACAAATTTCAAGATTGATCTGTTCAAACGAGTCACTATCTTGGGAAGGCATGTTAAGAGATAAAATATCCCACATCAAATAAAGATATAAATATAGACCAATTTATAAGGTCACTACAGGAAATATCACTTTCAACGACCATGTAAATGGTCGTAGAATATATATTTTTTGTTGTTGATAATATTCAATGACCAAAATCAGTTGGTTGTTCCTTGGTTGGCAAAGGGTGTTGGCAAAAGTATTTAACGACTAGAAATATGTTTGGTTGTTGAATGTAATATTTCAGCAACCAAATAATTGGTCGTAAATTATTTGTATTGACAACCAATTCTTTTTTCAACAACCATTTATTTGGTTGTTAAATTAACTATTTTTGTCGTTAAAATATAATGTAGGTATCTTTCATTTCAACTACAAAAAAAATGGTCGTAAAAAATTAAAATTGATGACCAACTCTATTATCAATATTTTCGTCGCAAATGCCTACATCAAGTCTGTCGTCGATTAGCAACTGATTTTTATTGTTATTTTGTCGTTAATGCAAATTAAAATTAAAAAAAAAGTATGATTATTATTTTAATTATTCTTTTCTTGAGAATTTAATATATTAAAGTTTATTTCAAAAGTTAAAAAAAATGCTAAAATTCGATAAAATGTACAAACTAAATAACAATGAAAATGGAATTGCAAATATATTCATTCAATTCCTTAATTGTTGAGTTCAAAACAACATAAAATAAAAATAATTTACAAAAAAATTGTTAGATTCCAACTATTGGAGAAACTTTATCTTGTGCAAATGGAGTAAACTTCTTCCCACGAACATGAACAACATAATCTGCAAATAAATAAGAAAAAAATCACCATAAATTTCATAAAATCTATGTTGAAGCAAGAAAATTAAGAAAATCACATTAAAATTGAAGGTTCCTTCAGAAATTTTCATCAACATAGCTTATACATCACCACAAAATGCATCATTTAAGGTCCTTGTACATAACAATTACTGATTGTAATAGCATGAAATCAAGACATTTAATAGCTAATTAATAGTTCATCAAAAGAACATATAACACCTTTAGAGCCACTATAATAAAGTCACAGAATGCATCAGAAAGATCTCTCTCTAGACTCTGTTTAGTGTATAGGCAGAATGCAAACTCATGAATTACTTTCACTCCCCCATATAGATGTGTAATGAAACCAGTACTTTTAGTGCTCGTGAAAATGTTACTGGCAAAAATTCAAGCTTACCAAAGTTTCTAGTGAGTTTCATGCCAAACTGAATAAAAATACCATTAGTAGCGAAAAACAAATTCCTTACGTACATGGGGAGAACCAAAAAAGATAAACATAAAACAAAAGTACCTGCAACTTTCAGCAGCAAGCCTTAAAAGATCGGTATTGGGCTACTCCTCTTAACAAGATTGACCTTTTAAGATGGAACTCCAAATCTTAACACATAAAATAGCAAAATTTTTGATCGGATCATTATTTAATTTTACTTGCAACAAAGAAGTCATAACTTCACGTTCACTACAAGGAAAAGCTACGAAAAAGAACAACTAACGATTGCGGAAAATTATTCTCTCATCTCCTCATGTGCTGTGGGATGTAAAGTAATCTCCTGCAAGGAAATTTAAAACATTACTCAAATAAATAATATTTATTTCAGGAAAAAAGTATTATGAGATGAGCTTTGACTTACACGGTGTACACCAGTAGAACAAGGCTGTCTTCATAATCAAAAGCTTTTTATGTGCACCTCAAAGTCTTCATTACCATAATCCCGTTGTTCTTGATGAATTTTCAGAGCTGAAGTTTCGGCATTTTTGCGACAATAATATACCACAATCTCTTGTAGTGTTGAAATCTTGCCAAATTCAAAAGGAATCGCCTTCAAAACATTACAATTTTTCAGCACCAATCTTTCGAGTATAGGGAAATGATCCTCTGACGAATTCCAGTCTTCAAGGTACACGTAATATAATTCAAGGTATTTGAGTTTCTGGAACTCATCATCCTTGGTGTCCCAGATTTTTCCTTCAAAGCTTGTACATTCTAATTTCAGTATCTCGAGGTTGGGCAATGTCCCGATTAATGACATAATTTCCAAAGACAAACTCATATATAAAAGAGTGAGCTTTTTTATATTCATGGGAAATTTAAACACTGAGTAGTCACCTTTAAATTTTCTTTTGCCATAAGTTAAAACTGAAAGTGATTCAAGCTTAGAAAGAAAGTTGAGATCAGGAAAGTGATTTACTGAAGTTTCGCATTTAAGCGTACGAAGATTTGGTGAACATCTCAAGATTGCTTCATCTTTCGGATCGGAAATACGAACGTAACGAAGGGTTTGTAGACAATTTATTTGAGAGCCATCACAATCCTTTGTGAATCTTGAGATATGATATTTGTTATTGACATATAGATGTATTAACTTAGGCATACTGAGAAGGTATGATGGTACTTCACTTACAGATTTCAAACGAAGGTATTCAAGGTGATGGAGTTTGCCTACCGATGGCTCTAATGTTAGAGAACTCAAATACCTCAAATCAGGCATAATTTTGATTCCCAGTCGAGAATTTCCACATTTCCATGAATCCAATATCCTATTTTTTTCCAAATTAACAGAAATGGAGAAGGCCCCGGGGAGATGATGATGATGATACCGATCCATAAACAGGCGACGGAGACTCTCAGATATCAATAATGGTCTAAAGAAGTAGAATAATAAGAACGAGGTGGATCATCGTCAGTTTGACACGTCAACCAACATCAGTAACAGCAGCAGCAACATCGACATAATTACAACAAATTAGTAGGCTAAATTGGAAAAGAGAAGTAAAACGAGAAGGAATCAGAAAGAAAGTGAGTTAACTTACTGTTGAAATGGAAACATTTCCTCTTCTACATATATTTTCTGGCACATATCAAGTACTAAATCGTGGAGATTACAAGCTTTTACTCTGTTGTTAGATCTTCTTTTGACAACTTGCAGCAGGCTCCTGTCAATTAATTCCATTAGATACTCCTCTGCTACATGTTCTAAGCTCTCGTGCTCCTTTTTCTCTATGAGTCCTTCGGCTATCCATAGTAATAATAGCTTCCGAACTGGAATTTCCTCCTCTTCTTGGAATGCAATAAGATAGAGGAAACATGGCTTCAAGTGATTTGGTAAATGGATGTAGCTAAGTTTCAATGTGGGAATGTAGTCATCGGCTTTTTGGAAAATGTGACAACGTAAACTTTCTGCAACTTGTCGCCATAAGCTTTCATTTTTCTCCATCTTTGAAAGAATTCCAGCTATCAAAACTACTAGAAGTGGTAATCCCTTGCAATTTGCTGCAATTTGCTTACCAATATCTTGCAGCTCTCGAGGGCAACATTCTTTCTTGAACACTTTCTGCTCTAATAAATTCCAACTGTCACCTGGAGATAGGAGAGGAGGTTCAATGATAACCTGAGAAATTTTGGATGCCACATTTTTCAGCCTACTGGTGAACAATACTCTGCTTCCATTTGTGTCCTCTGGAAATAACCTTTTCAAATCTTCCCATGCTTCTTTATCCCATAGATCGTCCATAACTACGAGGTATCTTCTACCCTTTAAATTTTTGTAAAGAACTTCGGCCAAGTCTTCGTCTTTCATTTTTAACATCTCTTCTTTGTCAACGTCACTTAAGGAGCTCAAAATGTCAATCAACAGCTTTCTCTTATTGTAAGATTGAGAAACAACACACCAAGAGAGCTTATCAAAATAGTACGCAACATTGGAATGATCGTATATTTTCTTTGCTGAGGTTGTCTTGCCAAGTCCACCCATTCCAACGATGGAAATAATCTGGCGGCGTTTTGGTCCTCCAACAAGCTTGTTCACAATTTGTGTTGTCATGTCCTCTAAGCCCACAACGATCTCTTCTGCCATGGGACTGCTGTTATCTTGGGATGATGATACATGACTTGGACTTTCTGCAACTTGTAGGCTTCCAATTCCAACTTCACTTGACACTGCAATACTATAATATTTCATCTTCACTAGCACAACCTCAATCCTTTCTAACAGAACAGAAATTGCAAGATCCATTTTGGTGGAGGTAACAAGATCTGTGGTGAAAAAGAAAGAATGCAAGAAAAGTCCTGCTTCATTAAATACAGCTTCAATTTCTGTGAATATACTTTTCTTCTGTTCTTCCGCATCGCTTGGAATTGGATAAACAAGAAAGGTGAGCAGAAAATTCAACCCCTGCTGAAGAATTTTGACTCGATTACTCACAAGAACGGTCGAATCCTTTTGGCAACTAAGCAATTCTCGAATACTTTCAAAAAGAAAGTCGATGAAGATTTCCCAATGTTCATTTACATTGGAATTATTTGAGATGGGTGTTTGAATTGTGAAAAACTTGTTAAGCTCTGGCATGAAAGTGAGAATGATTTCTAAAAATTTTTTGCAATGTTCTTTATCAAGACGAGAAAAGATCTCTCCATATAAGATGCAGTAAGCTGAATCATCAAGATACTTCAACAGATCATGCAGATCACACAAATCATGCATATTAAATGCTATGAAATCGCGTCGATCCAGGCATTGCAATACTTCTGTTGCATATTTGAGAAAAGTTAAAAAGTGTGGGCCGAGCCATTGAAAGCTAAGATTTTTTTCTTCTCCATCAAGCTTTAAATCTTGCAGATGGGAAAGAAGACCTGGGTTCTTAACTAGACGTGACAGATTTTCGATGGAGAGATTCTTCGTTTTTGCTCTGAGAGAGATTGAGTTAGAGAAATTCATCATGTATTGTTGGGTTGGGCAGAGACTAGAGAGAGATTAATGAGAGTGAATGTAATCACAAATCACAATATTGTTGGTTTGAGACAAGAGAGGGATGATGAGACTGTGTGTTCAAGGACAACTAATACGTTTGGCCTCTCAATTCATTCATTTTATTTTAAACGGCAAGTTGGTTGAAGCTACACATTTACCTAGTTAATCTGCCCTTTTTTTTTTTCTTTTCTTTTTTTTTTTTTTTGGGTCCTTATGGAAATCGGTGATCATCCATATTGAGATAATTAATTTTTATAGAAAATGATGATCATCCATATAAGATAATTTTCATGATATCAAAAGACGAGTAGGCTAATATCATATGAATGTTTTGTTATTTTTTTTTTGGAAAAAAAAAAAAAAAAAAAAAAAAGAGAATAGACCTTCCATTTTTCTACCACATATTCTATTTTGACACCAAGAAATGAGGTTTTTCTAGAAATAGAAATGAATTGTCAGAAATTTATTTGCAAGTGGTAAATGCTTGTATTTCATTTCTAGTTCTCACCATAAATCTCAACCGAAAGAAAGAAATAAACTTATATAGGAATCCATGAAACTCTTTTCACCCTCAGAAAAGAATTCATTGAACGATCATCGTGGGATTCATGAAAACGATCAAAAGTTCAGTAACTCATGAGTTTCAATCTCTGCAGATGAAATGTACCAGGCAAATTAAGAATAATGATCACATGTTATATGGATTTGATCAAAAGGGGGACCATCCTCCTTTCCAATCCGAGGCATTTAGATTTTATTTTATTTTTTTTGGCTTTTCAAGTTAATGGTCGGTGCTGAAAGAATTTTAAAAGATACGGGTAATGAATAGAATACTGGTGACCAATAATACAAAGGATATTTTTTGTTGAACATAGGGGGCTACATAAAGGTGTTCATAATAGACACCCAGCGACCGGCACTCCCTCCAATAGGGGGCCGTCGGGCGTCCATTATGGACACCCTTATGTAGTCCCCTATGTTCTTGTAGCAAAGTCCTAATACAAAAACATAGATCAGTGTGTACTGTTAGGGAAACATTTGGAGATATATATATATATATATATATATATATATATATATATATTTTTTTTTTTTTTTTAATATTTCCCTTTTATGGTTGAAATATTTGAAATCTCCAACTTGAAATGTTCCTTGAATGCTTAATTAGGAGAGCTTAGCTGCCCTTTTCCAGGTTACATTTAGTTGTCTTGTAGTCTCTTGATGAAATACATGACATTAACTTCCACGTGTCAATTTTAATTCTATAGCATGATCATGCGGAGAATTGAATTCTACTTGATTGTTGTGTATTTCATTTAAATTCTTTGACAGGGTTATATCTTTTTGTGACTTTAATAATTCTTTGATTTACCAATGAATGATATCAATTTAAATGTACCTAACTTGAGTATAAATATTGTTGATGAAATAAATTCTTTAAGCGTTTTGGGTCGATGTCAAGTAAGACCGATGTGTTTTGCTCGATTGATAGTATCTTAGCCCTTTTTTATTATTTGTCTCTATAGATCTACAAAACAAATGTTTTTTTTTTTTAATATAATGACAATAAAAAAGGAGTCAATTAAACTATTCTGATAGGGTTTTGCAACAGGTTTTAAATCCAGGTGCAGTGTGGCGGCGTCTGATTGGTTGATTTTTTGTCTGTTTTTTCCGAGTGCCCAATGCCCTGTTGACAAGTGTGCTCTGAATTTAAAACCTGGATTGAATCCCTGATTTTCTAGCATTGTTCGAAAGGAATTCTGATGATCAATTCAGCTCTGACTAACCGAATCAAATATTTGTTTTGTAAATAATTTATCTTGTGCTTTTTTATTTGGATAATTCTAAAGGTACACAAGTGTGTACCTAAGGGGTGTCACGAAAGGACACCGGGCTGCTCCCTATTGGAGGGGGCGCCTGGCTGAGCACCCATAGCAAAACCCTTTTTATTTACCTTTTCAATGACTTGCATTTGGGGATTGAATTACATTGTTTGTATGAATGGATTCAATAACAAATGGGAAGCTTCCATGTTTATCCTTCCTTCTTCGACAATCGTAGCTATTAGCTAATTGTCTTCGAATTTAAAATGGTATTAGAGAATGAAAAGAACAGGCAATTGGACGAGAAATTTGTTTCCTGCAAGGTACTGGTTGGTGAGTTGATTTATAGATACTAAACTTCAATTTAATTTCTGATTTCGTCATTGTGTTACATTAGTCACATATTGTTCTCCCAAAAATGGAAATTACTTCGTTTACATCATAGTCATTCAGTCTATTTATTAATTTCAACGCTTTCTTGACATGCTGTAGTGAAAGTTGGCAAGTTATATAGTGATTATGCGAAAAATTTATCGTGCCATGCCTTTTGATTAAACAATTTGATCACTTTGAGAAACGACAAGTGATCAAATTGTGAAATTTGTAAAACTAATTAATATGTAACCACATAAATCGAAATTTACTGGAAAAAATAATAATTGCGATCACATGTAGGTTTTCTTTTGCTAACTTCTTTATTATTCAGAAATTTTTAAAAAATATATTACTTTAAACCGGCTAAAAGAAAGTACCGTGAAATGCAATCACTGCCTTTTCAGCTTCAACTAAGTAGACACGTGCGCAGCGTCTTTTGATTCAAATATCTCGATAACTACAGAAAACCGCACATGCACTTTTGTCTATTCTAATATACAACAATCGAAGAAACATTTTAAAATTGACATTGTACTAATAAATTGTCGGAGCTTTTACAATTCAAAGAAGACGTTGAAAGATTGAAGTTCCAAAATACCCCATTCTTCTAATTTAATTTACAAAATGAGCCCCCAACTATAGTAAAATAAAGAAAAACTGGGGCAAATTCAATAACGGTTACTGAACTTCCAGTAAAATCTCAATTGAGATGCTAAATTTTATTTTGCCTCAATTAGGATCACTAAATCTCAATTTAATTTCTAATTTCATCGCTATGTTACATTATGTATTATTCTATCCGAAATTGCTTGGTTTACATCATAACTCATTTAGTGTATTTATTAATTTCAACACTTTCTTGACGTGATTTAGTGGTTAGTAGGCAAGTGTTGCATAATGCTTCTTGATTAAATAATTTTTATCAATTTAAAAAATGACAAAATTTTAATAATATGATCACATATGATATGGAATATGATCCTCCTACATTATTCTTAGTTGAAGAGGTACAATCAAACTTTTTACAAATCGAATACTTTGCTCTTGATTTTTAAATGATTTATATTTGACCCGAAAAAATGCAGATTTACGTTTAAAAAATATTTCTTCATTAATATTTTCCTCACCATTTTCATCCCTTTGATTTCGAATAGTCATTTTATTAATATTTTGTTCATTACAAGAAAATGCATATTTATGTCTAAAAAATCTATAGCTTATCTAATACAAACAATCAATTCAAGCGATAGAAAGAAAAAAACATATAACCAATATTCAATCAAATAAATACAATTCGTTAAATACAAGTTAAATTGAATATAATCAGTTCAAATACATTCTATGTCCACAAATAGGATAGGAGAAAATGCAAATTTAGGTTCTAATTAATTAAAAATTTGATCAGAATGTGAAATTGTAGTAGATGTGATAATTTGTTGAAAAATTATAGACAACTAAAAAAAAAATTAGAAAAGTTAAGGTTTTGATAAAAGATGTGAGGGAGAGAGTAAGATAAAGAAAGATAAAAAAAAATTCAAATTTATTGTGATCTTGCCCCTGTTTAGTGGGGTTAAAATCAGATTTTTAGTATATTTTAATAAAAGTTAAAAAGTTATGGTTTTCATAAAATATATTATTAAAATTAATTATTAACTTTGATTTAGATTAAAATTTAAATTTCAATCGATGCCAAACAAAACTTATCCTCCAAAAAAACCAAAAAACAAAATTTAGAAATATAATTTTCACATTCAATTCAATCATATCAACACTAATAGTTTGTATATTTCTTATTCAAATATGAAATATACAAACATATTTTTCTGGATAACACACTGCTATACAATTGTAAAAATAATTTGAAATTATTTTCTTATATCATGAAAATATTTTTTAGATATTCTTTCAAAAACTTTCCAAAAAACTAAAATTCATACACTAAGGGTCTGTTTGATTGCAAAGGTGAAATTTGGTTGGAAAGAAAATGAATTCCAAGAAATTGAATTGATGGGAAATTCTTTTCCTGAGAATTGTCAATTGATAGTGTTTGATTAGTATAATTTTCTAGGTGAAAAATATTGAAATAGAAAGTGTTTTTTATGTCCTTTTGGCTTTGTTTTACATGAAAATTGTCAATTTAAAGAATATCCACTTCTATTATTATTCCTAAAATTTGTTTTCATTGCCAACCAAAAAAAAAAAAAACAAAAAAAAATTTTGATCAAAAAATCATCAATATTTGGTGTTCGTTTGGCTTTATTTTACATGGAAATTGTCAATTAAAGGGAAATATTTTTTTACAATAATTCTTAGAATTTGTTCCCCCAAAAAAAAAAAAAAAAAAAAAGGGCTACTACAATAATCGGGAATTAGAATTCTCTCTATTCCAATTCCTTAAAAAGCTAGAAAATACTGAGTTGGCAAGAAAAGATGGAAAGTGAATTCCATGGAAATTGTAAGCTATCAAACACACCAAATTAGTGGAAGATGGAAAATGTTTTCCATTTTCCATGGAATTCAAGTGTTATCAAACACTACCTAATAAAAATAAGATAAATACAAAATTCGTACAACGCAAGTGATAGTGACTAGTGCTAATAAATATGTTATGTTGCAAAGGTCACTAATTCAAGACTTGCCACAATACATTTTTGGGTTATGCTACAAGTACATTGGGGGCTACATAAGGGTGTCCATAATGGACACTCGGCGGCCCCCTATTGGAGGGGGCGTCGGTGGGCCAGGCGCCCCCTCCAATAGTTGCCACAATACATTTTTGGGTTATGCTACAAGTACATTGGGGGCTACATAAGGGTGTCCATTATGGACACCCTTATGCAACCCCCAATGTTCAACAAGTATTATCCTACATTTTTTATCACATTCTGAATTATTGTGGTAATGAGTTTCCACTGAAATTGGAAATTACATTGTTATTACAAGTAAAACTGAATCTTGAAAAACAGGTGGATAGAAGCAGCTAATGCAGTGCTGGAAGTTTACACCAGAATATTTCAAAGGGTTATTAGTACAAAACATCTCTACCTTTCAAGATTTTTGTGGAAAACATCCCTACCTTTAAATTTTTGGCAATTTCACCCCACCTTTGCCTTTTCTTGTGGAAATCATCATTTTTGTCAATAAATAGCTATAAAATGACTAAAATACCCTTCTATTTAAATTAAAAAAATAAAGAATTAATTGCAATCATAGTCCCAAATTTTAAAAAAAGTTCAAAAGAGTCTCAAATAAATAAATAAATAATTCTCTTTCTTCTCCACCTTCCTCCTCCTCCACCACCAATTTTCATTAATTATTTCGTTAGCTAACAAACAACACAATCCAACAAACAACCAAATAATCCAAAGTTTTCCCAGAGCCTGTCTTGGCTCTTGGTTGGTGATGAGTGTAATTGATTATTTTTCACAAATCAAAGCTTCCATACCCGTGTACGAAAATAGCTGGAATCCATTTTATCTCATTTTTATGCTTACGAATGGTGTAAATAAGGGGTAAAATGAGAAAATCAATTAAAATGTGATTCCATGAATGGAGAAGATGATGAAGATGAAGAGTTTTCTTTCTATTTTCGTATGAAATTGAATTTGTAGTAACAATCCCTACCTTTAAATCGTCTTTGCGCAAAACATCCCTACATTTACATCCTCTTTGCGAAAAACATCCTTACCTTTAAATCGTCTTTGCGCAAAACATCCCTACATTTACATCCTCTTTGCGAAAAACATCCTTACCTTTAAATTGTATTTACGTAAAACATCCCTACATTTGTTAAAAATTATGAAAACCGTCCCTATTAAATCACAGCTAGATACAACCATGTTCATACGCTCTGTAATTGAATGCCCCAAACACCCACTTCAAACACAGCAAAATCAAAGCTTAACAACCAAACTTATAATATACATAAAGCACTAAACTAAAATGATTGAAGAAAATAAACTCAAATTATATTGATTTCTCTTACATCCAAGACAAGCTTTGGGAAAACTCTGGGTTATTTGGTTGTTCGTTCCTATTTGGTTGTTTGTCGGATTGTGTTGTTTGTTAGCTAACAAAAATAGTTAATGAAAATTGGTGGTGGTGGTGGTGCAGGAGGAGGACGGTGGTGGAGGAGGAGGAGGAAGGTGGAAAAGGAAGAGAATTATTTATTTATTTATTTGAGACTCTTTTGAACTTTTTTTAAAATTTGGGACTATGATTGCAATTAATTCTTTATTTTTTTGTTTTTTTTATTTAAATAGAAGGGTATTTTAGTCATTTTATAGCTATTTATTGACAAAAATGATGAAAAGAATGATTTCCACAAGAAAAGGCAAAGGTGATGGTGAAATTGCCAAAAATTGAAAGGTAGGGACGTTTTTCACAAAAATCTTGAAAGGTAGGGACGTTTTGTGCTAATTACCCTATTTCAAAATACACATTACAATATTTCATTACGGAGCATGCTACTTTGCCATGGGGTTTGACCAACCCCATGACAGAAACCCCACAAATAGGGGGTGGGGCCCTCTTTTTTGCGGACCCCACCCCCTATTTGTGGGGTATCTGTCATGGGGTTGGTAAAACCCCATGGCAAAGTAGCAAAAATCTATTCATTATAGGGTTTTCAAAATAGACAGTGGTGATTTGCAGAGCCATATAAATTTCGGGAAGCGACTAATTTGAACAAAGGAAACTTTGAATGCTGATACCCTTACCACAAGAACACTTTGGAAACCCTTAATAGCAAAGTAAAAACATATCTGCACCAGAAATTTTTCTATGGACACCCTAATATAATTGTTTGATATCATAGTAGAAAAAATATAAGATTACATAGTAAAACCAATTGATGCTAATGAATTAAACCACCCAGAATTAATAATCAAATTTCATAAAAAGATTTCGTAAAAGAACGCTGTTTTCAGTCTGTTCAAGCTAATACAAATAAGAGCTGAACTCGGAATAACATGTAAAAGAATTTCAAAAGTCGATCAAACTTAAAAATTTTCAAGATGAATAAACAAACCAACAACTAAAACAACAGCACATGGACACAGGCATGCAACTGCATATATGAGATTGAGAGGGAGGGAGGCAAAGAGACTTCCATTCAGAAAGACCCTAATATAATCAAATTCAAATACTTCGCTCTATAGCATGTCCAAAGACCTCAACGATACAAATGCTTTGACAGACAAACTATAATGTTATGAAAGCAACTCAACTTAAGCAGCACTTTTGGTTGAAAAGTAAGTCGGAGATAGTTGTTTCTTGTATGTTCTGGTTCACCAATTAGAACCACCATCGGGGGATGGGTTAAAATCTGTTGGCCTCGTGATATTCACGTCTTCAAATTCATTGTCATCTGTAACAGCATGTAATAAATCCTTCAAAGTAGCATTTTATATAACAAGAAAAGAATTAAAATCGGACTTTTTTTTTGCTTTCAGTAGAATTCATATCCATGGAATAACCAGTTATGGCATAATTCGTATAGTGAATTAGGCAGTAATCTTGTTCATTATGTTTTTGAGTCCACTTCAATATTTCATATCAAACATGATCTTAAAGTCCAGTGACAGGGAAGACCATCACTCATGAATTTAAGATTATCAGCAATGCTCAGTGTTTCATTTCTTTAAACCTCGGGAAATAATCACGGCTTCCACCTGAATTGCCGAAAAAACTCCCTAAATCAACCCAAAATTTCAGATTATTTTAGCCTTTCAAAAGGAGTTGGAATTGGATAAATAGATAGTCATTGGAAGAAGATGTAAACTTTTCCCTCTTTTCATGTGCAAAAAATATGGCATATATATCTATGCATCTCAATTTTTAAATGACCAAATGCTTCTGTAGTCGAGAAAAAAACATCTGAAGTTAATTACAAGTGATACAGGGGAAGGTTTGAGGAAAGAAGAAAAGACATGACATACCAAATCTAGGAAATAATTTGCGAGAGGATTTGTTAGAGAAAAAGAGAAACAATTCACCTATTCACTTGCATCAATACGAACTGTGGTATGGACAATAATCAAATGCACACACTTCCACATGCCATAATGATAATATTCTCACTTATTAGGTTGGCTTATTTTCTCCTAGAACTTCTAAAAGAACAGGAAGTTGCCTAGTTTCCCTTCTACATAACAATAGAAACCAGACAAAAACCTTCATCCTTTTATCTATGTGATTTTACATCTAAAGCATGAATATATCCAGCTTCTATTCGGAAAACCTTAATGCATGTAACAATTCCTTAATGCACACACATTACATGCAACCTTCAAAATTTACTTTTCTCACCTCTTACTTTCAACCAATGTTCTTAAAAGTGTAAAGCATGGCGAAGTGTGGAGACCAAACTTCGACCTAGGCGAGGCCTAGATGTAAAAAAGCGTTTTTTTTTCTTTAATATTATTTAAAAAATTTTAATCAATCTAAAAATTATTTAACAATTAAAGAAAAAAGCGTTAAAAAGTTTTAAAAAGCGTAAAAAAAGCATGCCTAGATGCAGAAATTTTTTTATTTTTTTTTTTTAAAGAAGGCAATAAATAAATAAATGAACAAAAATAGATAAAAAAAGGTGCGAAAAAGCACGAGACAAGGCATTTTGAGCCCGCTTAATGCCTTGGTGCCACTTTTTAGACACAGCTTTTGCCTTTCAACTAAAGAGGACTCCTTAAAAATCAATTCTGAAAACCATGGAAATCAAGATGACCATATTATTTCATTACAACTTTAAACATAGAAACGGTTCAATTTCAGATATGATCCCTCGATTGGAATATTAAGAGATTCAAGTTCACCATCAGACAGGTCATGACATGCCACACAGTTTTTGTGGTGTTGAAAGCAGTTGAACACACATAAATGCCACCCTAACTACAGCCAGTTCAACTCCAGATTTATGCACCAAAAAATGGCAATAGGGAAAAAGAATTTCTGAACATCTTCCTAAAGTAATGCTACATTATTCTTGAGCATTTCTCACTTTAGGTACAATCAAGACGTTTTGTTGACAAGTATAGTTCAGACAGATAATGGAGTGAGTCAAGTTCAAGGTATTTAGAAAAGAAAAATTGACCTGCAAAAGGCAAATTAAGCCATTGTTTGGTGGGGACTAAAATCAGATTTTTAGTAATTTTGACAAAAGTTGATGAAATGTGTGGTTAAAAAAGTTGTGGGTCCCATTAAACGTGATTAAAATTAATTATTAACTTTAACTACCTACCAAACACAGGCTAAATGAATGTGTTATGGTCCACATAAGTTAAATAATAAATCAGGAACATCTATAGAAAGTAAGAGAACCTTTTCTCAGAGTGAGGGCCACAACAGCATCATTTTCAACCTGAAAACACATGGCAGTTTAACTCAATATATCATACTACCTGCTATGCAAAGGTATTTATAATAAATGTAAGAGCAGTTGCAGCATTAAATTTAAACAAACACAACTTATTTCTGATTCATTTCTTGCCTAAATATGAGAAGATGACTAGCTACCTAAATATAGAAGACAACAAGTTCAATCTTCTATAATTTTTCACATTAGCATTGGAGAAAATACCTTCTGATCTGCCAGTGATTTTGAATCATCTAACACTTCCTTATTTGGCATTAGTATCAGGCGTTGATCATTAACTGGTTGATCTATGAGTTCTTGCAATTTCTCCTTGATTTGTAAAATTGTCTCGCTTGGCACACATGTCAAAAAGTAAGTAATCTTATTACGTTTGACACGAATATACATTGCCTGTGCAATAAATTAATCAAGTATCAATCTATTAGCTTGAACCAACTACTGTAGTAAACTGATAGAATGGTATCAATATGTGGAACATACTACTAAACTTCTCCTGAAATAATATGACAGACCTTCACAAACAATCAAATGGCAATGCGAGAAATAAAAACATCATCCAAAGTCCTTTGTGCACTTTGGAATTCAAATATACGAACACATGCAACAATCATCATCAAAACCAGTCAAATCACATCATTCATAAACCAATAAAATCATCCATAGTAGAACAAGACAACCTATATGTATATCTCCTCTTTTCAGTAAACTACAAAATATGATGTACTTGGATTGGGTGATATCTAAACACAATGTATTGCACCAACTAAAATAATTCTCAAAATCATATTACCTACCTAAATCATTAAGTATGGTCTAAAAGTACAAAACAGATTGCTCCCGTAAACCACCTACAGAAAATAATGAGTAGCTTAAGAGATGACAGTATTTATGTCTAGATTCCAATTCATTAACTCGTCATTCATAAATAGGGATACATGTGCCATCATTTACATTGTTTCGAACATTCTAATATTAACCAACTTGTTCAATGGATCGCGTATGACGGAAAGATGGACTACTTCACCTCAGATAAAGGTGACAGAATTTGAACCTGTGGCCTATGTACTTAATGCACTGAATAGACAGCAATACGCTTTGTGTCCTCTTGCGAGTTGCTACACTATCATTTTATTATTATCCGCTGTTTAATTGAGGGCATGTATTTGGAAGAGAACTTGCCCTCTTCTGTCAATGAATTTGAGAAGTAGCTGTGAAGGGCCAAAGAGACGGGCCATTTTAAAACTAAAACCTATTGCTCGTGCAATCTGAGATCCTCAGCTACTTCTCCCAAGTACAAGTGAGAATACACCATTGAATAAAGGACAGTGGCTTTCCCTCTATTATAAAAATAAGAAAGTAAGCAACAATAAGTAAGGGGAAAGGGGAATGCTCCATGGCTTGGTCTAGGATTTTCTTATATCAACCAGTTCTAACTAGTTAATTTCAGTGCGATATTGATGTCATTATATGGCCATTACTACGCCATCAAACCCATCTGATTCGTCCTCCACTCAATAAGATGAACATTAATGTCCTGATTACATTTTGCGAGTGATGGACTATAATGATAGTAGACTTGGTATTAACAGAACTTCTGATTCAGAAAGGTGATTTGTTCAATATGTGGAACTCCCATTGCAGCTCCCTAATTATTATTCACATTCGAAACAACCTCTATTATACTTCCATTTTTTATGATTAATTAACAAATTATTTTCCATATAATTTCAAGCAGAAGTCAAACATGAAACCTTTACAGATTTAGCTCCTCGCTGAATTAAAACTACCAACAGAGACATAAAAGAACGGAACTTCAATAACACCTGGCAGCGACAATCCTACTTTCAAAATAAAGAAGAATCCATCCAGCTCTTCAGTAAATGGAATATTTCTTGATTGGAATTAAAAACAACAAAAATTATTCAAATTAAACCATTTTAATAACTTCAAGATTCCTGTAAACATCTAAAAATTAGGTCCGCGTAATGTGACATGAAATTGAGCTTTTCCAGTAGAATTGACTGCTTTTGATATGTATAAACATCTATAGATGCACGAAAGTTTCAAGGAAACGAATCAGTGTAAGGAAATCTAACCGTTTGATCATCCGGGCTATTTGGACGCGATGACTGCGACATATTACCTCGAGAATTTGAGGGTTTTCTCTATTTGTTTTTATCGTTTGGTAATTGGGAGAGTGAAAGTTTCGATCTTGTGAAAAGTTGAGCCCTCTGAAAGTTCAACAGCGGTTTGCAAGTATAATTTTGGTGAGGCGCAAGGTGATTATTTTTGGTTTTAAGTACTTTTTTTTTTTTTTTTTGGCCTTTTAAATAATCATATAGGGCTAATGTACTCCGGACTCGAATTTTTTTTTTTAAGGTACTTAAACATCTTTGAACCAAACTAAGAAGACTAATTTGTTGCTCCCGAGCATAGTCCACTGGTACAAAGGATAGGAGTGAGGTTATCTCAAATCTTGCTGACAGCTGCAATGTGGGAGTTCGAATTCTGATACATAAAATTGGACTCCTTGTAAGTGCAGTGTATAAACAGCTCTTGTTCCTTGATCTGTTGGGACACATCCCGCGATTTACCTCCCTCACAAAGTTCTAAAGGCGAGACGGTGGGGACCCTCTAATTTGGAGTTCAACCTTTTTAAGAAGACTAATTTGTTAGAAAAAGGTGAGGTGAAGGGACAATGAAGGGCAGTGAAGACGACTTTAGTAATCGGAGGTGGCGGGTGAATGATTTTATATATTTATTTATTTATTTATTATTTCATAAGTTGATGAAAATTAACCCTCGAATAATAAACGAGGTTCGAGAATGTTTAATTGAAAAATTGATGGCTTCTGTCTGATGATGACTTGATTATTTTTAAGCTCCGTTTGATTCACATTCTTTGGTCACAAAAATGAAAAATATGATCGTTATCTATCACACCAAATCATAATTTTTGACTTTCTATTTATTTGTGTAGGTTCCGTAACGACTATATTTTTTTATTCTCATTCTTACAAAAATTGGTACCAAACGGGACATAAATACGATGGAGCGCGCGCACAAACATATATATATATATAATCTTAAAAATGTCATATTAATTACCAATTATTTTATTACACTACCTATTTTGGTGTAGGTTTTATAACAGGGTTAATTATGTTAATTGTCATTGAAGTTTCCAGTAATTACATTAATGGTCAATAAAATTATTTTCTTAGCGTAAGAGTATACCATTTCTAAATGTTATACTATCATTAAATTTTGAAAATAATACTAAGCCCCTATCTAGTCGTGCTTTTCTTCCCATACGATCGCTTGTCACACCGTTGCATAGTGCATGGGAGAAGCTGCATATGTTAACTCCTAAATATCAACCGCAATTGTTGACAAAAAAACCTACAGCCATATTTTATTATAATTAAATTACCTTGAGGGCCTATTTGATTAAAGGAATTCTCCATGAAATTTTCCATTTTCCACCTTTTTTCTTTTTCTTTTTTTTTTTTTTGCATATTTGATTGGTCAAATTTTCTTGGCAATTGGTTTTCCACCTTCATTCCCACATGACCAGATTTTCTACCTTTTTGAAGAATTGGTTTTCCCATGGTTTTGTGGTTTTTGATTTTCCAACCTTTTTTCATTTTTTATTTTTACAATGAAAACTAATTCTATCCACAATTGTAATAAATATTAATCCTTTAGTTGACAATTTTCATAGAAAACAACGCTAAACGAACACCAAAATATCCAAAATGATAATTCCTGATAAAAAGTTCTAGGCAATTCAATTCTTTAAAATTCGTTTTCTCTCCATCCAAATTTTATTATTGCAATCAAACGGATCCTAAATGTCATTATACGAATAGAATTAATGCAACATCAAAAGGACACATAAGTCATTTCACAGTTCCAACTATGAATGAATGCAACAATTGTGGCTGATATTTCATTGGTTAACATTTGTGGCTTCTTCCAATGCACTTTGTAACGATCTAAAAAGCGATAAATAGGTGAAGAGAAGCTCGACCAAACAGGGGCTAAATGTCGTGGAACACCATTAAGTATCAATGAGTTATCAAATGTGGTTATTTATTATGTCATATCAATAAAATTCATTATTAAAGTAAGCACGAGTTTATTCTATGATTTAAGTTCAAAAATCTGATCAAAACTACGATTGTATTCATTTTCTTACCTAAACATATTTAGTGCCTATTTGAGTTTCATTTTTTTGCTAAGAATGTGTTTTGAAATAATAGATTGATGGAGAATATGTCTCATCTAAAATAAAGAAATTTTTTGAATTTGCATTTAATATTACTTTATTGAAAAATGCATTATTGAAAAGAAAGAGAGAAACGTATATTTTGATAATAATATGGATCAACCAAATGCTTAATTTCAAATTTCTAATATCTTAATTTTTTGGCTTGGAGTAATAAATAATGTTATTTAGTGATAAGTTGGTACCTAAGAATTGAAAAAGTCACGAGTACGGAAAAAAAATGTTAATAAAATTCATATGGACCCTGATGTTGTGATGCATGATTAGCCTTTTTTCTCTCTCCATTTTTCAAACGGCATGTGTTCCGTGTACTTATAACACATTCCTATACGTTTTTCATGAAAAATTAACTATTAATTTTTTAATAAATAATGTGGTGCTATAACACTGGCCTCAATGATCACATTTAATTGTTTCAATTATATTAATTATAAGCAAAATGTCAGCAAAAGCACCAAACCTTTTAAACATTTCATACCTTTCATTTGTTGCAGTCGTCATCCCAAACCTTTTCAAACGTTGCATTTGATGCCCTATCGGAGAGAATCTGTCCAAAATTCCGTTAGTTGACCTAAAAAAGTGATTTTGACCAGAAAAATTAATTTTGACCACATTTTACTCAATTTTAAAAAGGCAAAATAGTAATTTAACATTTTCTCCACCCATCTTCCCTCTCTCTCTCTCTTCTCTCTTCCCGTCTGTGTGTTAGATTCAAAGAAATCAAACGCGACTCTGAGCTTCGTATGGTAAGCCGGTGCCCCAAAAGCCGATTCGATTGCGTGAAACTCCTCCAAGCTTGTACACCCAAAACTTCCTCCCAATTCCGGTAAAAAATTTAGAGAAGGGGACCAGGAAAGGTTCAATCCACGGGTATGCATTTTTGTTCATGTTAATTTTTGCACATTCTCATTATATTTCTTCCTGCATGTACCTTTTCTCTGGTTATTTTGACGCCAATGAACCTCAAGATTCAGCTTGATTTGAAATTTTAACTAATTATTTCATTTACAGTCCTTACCAGATTTATCAATTAAGAGGTTGGTTACTCACCTCTGATAATTCTTTTATTTTTATTTTTGGGCTGAATGATCAAAACTTGGATTGCAGATCGTGGATAGAACTTGCTTCGAAATTATTGGCTTGGGTTTCAGTCAAAAGCCGATTTGATTGCGTGTTTTGTGGGGGAATTTTTTGAAATTCAATGTCTAAAACTCGTAAAAGGATAATTTCCAGGGCTAGCAACGGGGGTGAAGTTTGGAAATCTTGAAACTGGAACTCGGAGATAGAGAGACAGGGGAGAGAGAGAAAGGGAAGGTGGGTGGAGAAAATGTCAAATTACTATTTTGCCCTTTTAAAATTGCGTAAAATATGGTCAAAATCACTTTTTTAGGTCAACTAACGAAAATTTGGACAGATTCCATCCAAAAGGGGCTCAGATACAATGTTTGAAAATGTTTGGAGTAACGACTGCAACAAATGAAATGTTAGAGGAAAGTTTACTAATTTTAAAAGGGTTTGGGCTTCTGCTGCAAATTTTCCTAAGTTATACGGCATTGTATTTGAGTGAACATTATATTTAATGATATGTAGTAACTACTCGACATAGGTTGAGATATGCTATTTAATTGTTGTCGTCCAATTTGCTGTTCACCAATTAATTATTGATACATTATGTCAAATTAAAATTTCACATTTTTTTTAAGCATAAAGAGTAGTTAGAGAAAAGTTAGACATGTTAATTTAATATAACATATCAATAGTTAATTGAATGGACAATAAATTGGATAACAAAAATTGAACAACAAATCTCAGTTCTCTTTACATATGTGGTGCTAAGTAGCGGTACTATTTTTCAATAGACTGACATTAATAAGAAAATAACTTTAAAATAATGACGTAGTGTATTCGAAAGGGGTAATTAGCACAAAACGTTATTATCTTTCAATGTTATTGTACAAAACGTCCATATATTTCAATTTTGACATTTTCACCCATAATTCATTTTTTATTGCGAAAGTCATTTTCGTCCAAATTTTTAATAGAAAAAAAATGTAATGATAAACATACCATCATATTTAAATAAAATTAAATTACAATTACACCCTCAAACTTTCTAGAAAACTACAAATAAGTCTAAATAAATTATTAAAAGGGTAATTAGCACAAACGTTCATATCTTTCAATATTATTGTGCAAAATGTCCCTAACTTTTATTTTTTACATTTTCACCATTATTTTCACATAACATCGAGAAAATCATCATTTTTATCAATTTCTCAACTAAAAGCTATAGAATAACGAATATACTATCCCATTTAAATAAATCAAAAAATAAAGAGCATATTGTAATTATACTTCCAAAATTCTCAAAAAAGTACAAATAAATTTCAAATAAGTAATTAAAAAAGAAAGCGATTTATTATTTTTATTTGTTTTTAATTATTTATTTGAAATTTATTTATATTTTTTTGAAAATTTTGGGACTATAATTACAATTTGTTCTTGATTTTTCTTTTCTTTATTATTGTTTTTCAGTTTTTAATCAAAAAATTGATGAAAATAATGATTTTCGCAATGAAATATGAAATAAAAGTGAAAATGTAAAAAATGAAAGATATAGACGTGTTCCACAATAATATTTAAAAGATAGGGACGTTTGTGCTAATTATTTTTTTGATACTTTATTTGGATTTATTTGCAGTTTTTTAAAAGTTTGGGCATATAATTATAGCCCCCGTTTGAGCCCCATTATTTATAAATTATAATTAGATGAATAGTATTTTTTAAAAAAATGAGTGGTTGAAAATTTTTTGATTTACTTATAATATTATTTTACGAAAAATTGTGTGGTTAAAAGTAGGAGAAAGAAAAATTTAATTTAATATAATAAGAAATAATAAGGCTCAAACGGGGCATATTTTTATTTTATTTTATTTTATTTTAATATAATGATATATTTGTTATTTTATCTTTTTTTTATTGAAAAATGGGGGTAAAAATATTAAAAAATGAAAGGGAAAGCATTCTACGGACGCCTGTGCTAATTACCCAATTCAAAGGCGTAATTAACACTTTATCGGACGAAATCAAACTACGCATCCCAATGAGCAGTTGCATCAGCAGCACAGCGAGATAAGAGCAGTTTACGCAACCCAATACCACCCACGGATTCCATAGCATTCAATTCAACCGTCGGAAGACCTCAAAGCTTCTTCCAAGAATCAAAACATGGGGAACACTTCCTCCTTGCTCACTCAGTATGACATAGAAGAAGTCCAAGAACGTTGCAATCACACCTGTCTGTAACTTACCCATAAACTATTTTCATTTTATTTTTATTTGTTTATTTTCTATGAAAATCTTTAGGTCTTACTAATCTTTTCTGTTTATAATTGTTTAAAATAGAAAAATTAATCGCATGTTTACATTGAGGCATTTACATTTCTAGAACATTGATTATAATGTTGAAGGTTGAATCTTGATGGCATTGCATCTTTTTAAACAAGGGGTGATGATCCCTTTTCTAAAAACTGCACATATTCCCTGAGCATGGATTATATGATTGTCGAATTTTATTATTTTATTAAAGTATTTTCCTATTTCTTTTGTTTTGGGGATGTGTAGTTTCGCAGCAGGAGATAGTGTCATTGTACCAGAGGTTCTGCCAGCTGGACCGGAATGGGTGTGGCTTTATCTCTGCAGATGAGTTCATGTCCGTACCCGAATTTGCGGTCAATCCTCTCTTCCAGGTTAGTTACATTTATGCAAACATGGAATCCCTTGTCAACTCCCGATTTTAGGGTCATATGGGAAGTGTTCATTTGATTGCAAGAATCGAATTTGGGTGGAAAGAAAACGAATTTCAAGAAATTGAATTGCCTAGAACTTGTTTTAATGAGGATTGTCAATTAAATGTGTTTGATTGGTAATTTTTCACCTCTAGAATGTTGAAATTTTAGATGTTTTGGTGTTCGTTTGGCTTTGTTTTTCATGAAAATTATCAATTAAGGGGATAGAATTCGTTACAATTGTGGATAGAATTTGTTTTGAATGAAAAAAAAAAAAGAAAAAAAGAAAAAAAAAGAACTTGGAAAACTGATTTCCCACCAAACCATGGGAATTGATATTCTCAAAACCAAGGAAAAAGGGGTCACGTTGGGGGGTGGTTTGGAAAATCAATTGCCAGAAAAATTCTTGCAATTAAACAATGAAAAAAGTTTTCCATTTTCTATGGAAAATTTCTCAAATCAAACCCGTCCTTAGAGAAATATATATTCCATACTATGCCAGGAATGGTGTTAATGAATTCATGTCTATTTTATTGTATCTTTGGTAGGGCCAAAAGAAATCAGTACCAAAACTTCGCCCCTATTTGACAACAATTATTTTGGAAAAACAATGAATTGATAAGTGATTTTTAGGAGGAGGTGTGGTTAAAAGTTAGGAAAAGTTTTGGGTTTGCGTGCAAAATACTGTGAATGTGTGGTTGAAAATAAGTATATGAAAAAAAGACTTTTCAAATAATGGTTGTCAAATGGGAGTTAAATTTAACAGATGTGCTACAAGTACACCATTTTTGATAGCGTCTTTGATAGCCCTCTCACATGTAGGAGTGGGGTCCACGATTAAAAAAATTGTGAGCCCACATTTTGTGAGAGAGCTGTAAAATGTGTACAGCACCATATATCATTTTCCTAAATTTAATTAGGTATAAGCAAATTTCAATTACATTAAGTAGTTTGATCTCATCCACCTACGAGCACTTATAAGGCACATAAACACCAACACGTGCACTATGGCATTCAAGAATTATGGCGATGGCCCCAATTTTAACGATGGATGCATCTGGATGTTTGTGTTGGATTTGCATTTATTAGTGACACATATCTGACTCTGACGATCAAGATTAAAATTTTTGTCTCCGTATCTTACACTCACTGCACTGTTGATAACCTATGTTTGGTAGCTGATGATGAGAAGAGCTAATAGGGAACTTGAACGTGGTCAAGCCAATTAGCATACTGGGCTCAACAAATATCAAATTCAAGGCTGATTTAGACATCTTAGAAATCACTGATTTAAGTGGACTTCTCACACGTTTTTGGACGAAAGGTTATTGTTCTTGTGGCATTGGCTGTTTGATGATGTTATAATGCTGATTAAAGACACGATCAAGTGTTATTTAAACTAATTTTCAGACGCCACTAAATAAATATCATACGGTATAATGTGGGGTTTGTAAATTTATGGATGTGGGCAAAAATTTAAAACAAGAGATTTTATTGGGAACATTGGGTGAGATAATAAGTTTCAGTGCCAAGGTGCATACTTGGATCTAGAACCTTAGCATTTAAAAAATGTTTGCAAAAGTTTCACTATCAAATCATTGCACGTTTTTTAATGTATGTTCAATATTCAATCTCTCTAATCTATCTTACTTTTCTTTAAGAGGAGCCAATGGCTGACGCAGACTTTTTGAGTTAGTTGGTCACAATCAAATTTACAAAAAAGTTGTGAAAATTATAAAAGCATATGATAAATATCTAGACAACAAGCAAACCATATTTAAACTGAATATCCAAGCAACAATTTATTTTATAGTCTAGAGAGATTGTATGACGGAAAGCTATGTTACTTCAAGCCATTGACCGTTTCAAACCAATGATTAACTAAATGAGTTGTAATATCATCAATATGTAATATTTCCTCAATGTTTTTCATTTGTAAATTATTTTCTGTATTTTCTTAATCTACAAAGCACAGAATTAGGATGGTCCTAAAACCAATATTTAGAATTAGGATGGTCCTGGAACCAGTCTCCGTACCTTCGAGTGCAAGTATTCCAATAATAACAAAATAGAATGTACCTTATGTTTGGTTCTCTTTGGCTAATTTGCTAACCTCTTGCTTCAATTCCTATTGAAAACTTCGAAGTGATTTAACCTCCTGACAAGAAGATTAACATCTGCTTTTGATTTCAAGTCTAACTCTTCATGATGCTTTGGCAAGTTCTCAAGCTGATCCACTTTTATATAAAGGAGGATTAGACAAAAATCAAAAGACAAATTCAAACCTGCTCAAGAATAAGAGAACTGTGTCAACAATCCATCTCCTCCCATCAATAATTACACTGGAATTTGTCCCACAGCTTATTAGAAAAGACTTCCTCTGAGCTTTCCCAATCTCCGTAAAATCCAAAAATAATCACCAGCCACAATATGCCTAACCCCATTAATCAGGACTCAAAAATAACCCAAGATTCCTCTTTTTCTCCCCTTTTACCCTTTTTTTCCAGAAAAATTTCAACAACCAATGCAAATTCCAATAAACTCAAGAATAAAAGAATATAAGTCAATCCCCAGCAATTCAATCCCTATTATTGATCACTGCCGGTTTTCATAAATTAATGCCTGTATGGACTAGGTTTAAAAAAATAATAATAAATAAATAAATAAAATATTTTGAAAGTTGGTGGGTCAAGTGACCCACCAGGACCCACTGTGTGTCCGCCCTTGTGTGGAGCTTTTGATGGAAAATGTGTGGACTCGTCTTGAAGTAGTGCTTGATATACAGTACCATAGTTTCATGCAGGAGGATCAAGTTGACCACAAACAGAAGTTGGTTATAACTACTTTTGTGTTAGGAGAAATGTCTTTAACTCGTTGTTTCCTCCACACGTCTTTTTCTTGGGTCACATGAGACTCCATGGCAAAGAAAGTCAAGAAAACTAATATTCTTCTCATGCTGGAAATGTGCCAAACTATTTTTATTTTGCAGCAAAATATCACAAGAGAAGTGGGGAAATAGAAAATTTTAGTACTATATTAAGAACTGAATATTTTAGGTACAGATCATTTTGAGCGATTGTGACAGAAAAAGTAGCAACAGACTTCTTGCTGCTGAAGTGAATGAAAGTTGAAAGGCCTTACAATGGCAGATGTGACGCTCTTGAATGCCATGAGAAAATTTATAACAAGAGATATTAACGAGTACATTAGGTTAAAGAGTAAGTTGTTGGCCGAGGGCTCTGATGACCATTCTAGTAATTCTGGAACTCTGGTTTGAAACAACATTTTCTCCAAGTCTATCTCTAAAGACAAGAAGGAATAGGTCGTTTGCTCTTATTCTTTCTCCCTACCCAGGGGCATCAATCTAAAGAGTGTGTAGTAAAAGCATTCTATGGTTTATTTGTTTGTGCATATGGGTCTATTTGTATGCTTCCGAGATCGCATGACATACATATCTTGTAACAGAGGATAACTCTTCAACAGAAATTAAGTAAAATGAAACATTGATAGGTTGCCATATTATTCTTTAATGAGATTGTCAAACTGTATGGGCTTCTCAAGACCATCGTGTCCGATAGGGACGTTCGCTTCACTAGCCATTTTTGGAGGACTTTGTGACATAAGATGGGTACCAAATTAAAATTTTCTACAGCCTACCACCCTCAAACTGACGGTCAGACCGAAGTTGTTAATCGGAGTCTTGGTAACTTATTACGTTGTCTGGTCCGGGAGAACCTTCGAAATTGGGATTTAATCCTTCCTATCGCTTAAATCGCGTATAATAGCTCCGTAAATCGTTCATTAGGTATGAGTCCATTTGAAGCCGTTCACGGATACAAGCCTAGGAAATCATTAGATCTCATCCCTATGTCCCCACAGGCTAGAGTGTCAGTATCAGCCGAAGCATTTGCACAACACCTTCGTGATTTGCACATTGAGATCAATAAACAACTTGAAGCTAGTAATGCAAATTATAAACTACAAGCTGATTTACATAAACGACACATTGAGTTTAATGTTGGGGATTACGTTATGGTTCGCATTAGGCCAGAGCGGCGTCTACATGGACCCGCCTCCAAATTGCAAGCTCGTAGTGCTGGTCCTTTTAAAATTTTAAAGCAAGTTGGTCCAAATGCATATATTGTCGACATTCCATCCCACATTGGTTACCACGATACTTTCAATGTTGAAGACCTTGTAGCTTATAAAAGCCATTTCATTCCCTCAGATGATCCCCTGTTACCTCCTTTTGTGGACCTTGATCCTAATTCTTTGGCCCCCTCTAACCCACTACCACCTCTCACAGCACACACAGATAAAATTGATGCTATTTTAGATGAAGAAACTGTGTTCACTAATGATGGAGAGGTTCAGCGCTTCCTTGTTCGTTGGGTTGGTCGACCAGATTCTGATTGTGCATGGATCTCCAGGGAGACACTACAGCATTTGGATCCAGATTTGCTAGAGCTTTTTCGGAGTCAGCACGATCTTCTTTGGCCCAGATCGCCTCTCGTCCACCCGAGGGGAGTTGGTGAGGACACCAGATTCAGACCGCCACTGACACATTTCTACAGACGCAGGAAGAAGCTTGCCCAGCCACTCAGCTTATGGTTGGGAGATTGACAGATGCCTATGGTGATATAGCCACTCGACAGGGTCGAGTTTTCTCTCCCACCCCGGGAGAATTGATGAGGACATCCAATTTCAATTAATTTTAGCAATTTTAATTATTTTAGTTGGAATTTAGGTTATTTTAATTTTATGGACTTGTGTATTGGGCTTGGCCCTAGGTTTGCATTATTTTCCAGTATTTAAACCTATCTTACATTGTTATTTGGGATTGATGAATTTGATTAAATTTTAAAGTTGGCTTCAGCCGTTTGCCTCTCTGCTTCCCGCCTCTGTTCTTCTTCTTCTCTTCCCTTCTACCATCTCTTCTTGTTTTAGTTATTGAATCATTCACCCTACATCAGTTTGATATTGCTTTTTATTTGCCCGAAGTTTCAAACATTGATGAGTTTTGTTACATCTTTATCAGAGACTGTTGAGAATGCTGGATGGACTAAATTTCAAGGAGTTTGTGGCGTTCTTATCTGCTTTTAGCTCTCGGGCAAGCTTGCAGCAGAAAGTGGAATGTAAGACTTACCACATACATTGACTTGTACCTTGTTCCATCTTGACAGTTGCAGTTTTCTCCATTAGTTGCAATTGCACATATATATCTTTTTCTCTCTCTTTTTCCAGTCATTTTTAAGGTCTACGACTCTGATGGTAATGGGAAGGTTACTTTCAATGAAATGCTGGATATTTTGCGCGACTTGACGGGTCAATTTATTTCTGAACAGCAAAGAGAGGTTAATTTTCGCTCTTATTGTTTCTTTCTTTACAATTTTGATTGCATGTGTTTTTGCCAGAGAAATTACGTTGGAAGATTAAACTTGTGTCCTCAGTAATTGAACAATGCCATAGATACACCGTATAAAACAAAGAAGCTAAAGTTTGTTGAATAAAGGTTTTTGCTGATTTTCATGTGTGTGTGTATATATATATATATATAAAGAAGCATCACATATGTGTCGAATACTAATAGGTTCATGGAAAAAGGTGAAACCCACTGTTAAAAAGGTTTAATTGAGTAGTGTGGCGTTTTATCTTTGTGAGGCAATGCAGTGTAAGCTTCGATGTAGAGCAATAAAAGCATTCATAATAATATTAAAATACGCAAATATGCTATATATCATAAGCCCTTTTTAAAAATCCATGATAAAACTAATTAACAAAATTAAAATTAAAAGTCTAAGTTGCAAACAAACATAAAATGGATTAAGAAAATAAAAATAATAAATTCTCAAACTAGTAATCATACAACTCAATTCTCGTCTGTACTACTATTAGAAGTGAAGAAAATTAAAATTTCTTATATTATGATCTTTAAGGGAATCACTAACATCAACTTCTTTATTCTCATTATAAGTTTCTTTTCATTCTATGTTATCATCCTCCAATTGCAATGGTGTATTCTCCTTCCTATTTTCCTTCCGTGTAGGTGACAAGAAAAAATATAAAAGATCTGATAAAAATATTTATGTTACAAGGAAATAACTCAAAAAGCTAAGACCAATAATTAAATGTTTGAAAAACACAGGGTAATCGGTTAAATGTTTGAAAATTGCTGGGCAAATGGGCTAACAACTTACTTGACTTGAGGTTCACACTTCACACTAACTAAGATTAGCCGTAAGCCTTAGTAAATTGAGGTGTAAACCTCACAAATGGCATTTAAGGTGCTGGTTTTGACCTTACATGAGGCGGTTATTCGAGGCATAAAGCCTTAAATATTTCTTTTTAAACCATGATGAAACCTATCTTTTGTTAAATTTCACGAAATGGGAAAGCATTTAAAGGTGAGAGGAAAAGGAATAATTGCATATCTTTTACATGAGATCTCGTTACTGTATGAATTCTTAGATTCTTCTATATCTTCAAATTTCCGTACTTAATTCTTTGCTAACATGGAGCATAGTTTGTGATGCTCTTGTTAGAGATTATAGTAATTTAGCGTCTTCATTAAGGGCATTCCAGTTTTTTAGTAATTAGGGTCATGTTCTAGGATATTACCGTATGTTCTAGGATATTACCGTTTATAAATAGTCTCTCTGTAATATGTTTCGTATATGGAATAAAGTTTCTATTTTGTATAACAGCTCCAACTTTCTTATTAAAAAATAAAAAATAATAATAATAAATAAATAAATAAAATTGTGGAGAAACTATACTTGAATTTAACGGTATAATTTGCTCAAGTTAGCAAATAGGGAGAGGGGGAAGCTACTAAAACTGAAAATGTTAGGCAGGATAAAAAATCAACTTAAGAAAAAAATTAGTTGGGTATTATTGTTGATATAATGGATAAATCGAATATGAAAGTCGTCAATATTTGTTCAATGGCTTCATAGTCTATTCTTTCTTTTCTTTTAAAATATAGTTTAAAAATTGAAAATAGAATTTAAATATCATGCCCCTATATATTTGGAGTTTCATAGGATACTTTTCTCATATCCCCATAATATGTATGGAACTATTGAGTTTCTGAAATGTTGTGCTCTTCTTGGTTGGTTGCAATACTAGCATGGGTCACATGACATTTTAAATTGTCAATTGCACTACTTCTTGCTCTTCGTTTCTTTTTCATTTACTAAATTGATTTTCAATGGTTTTGTGATGCTCATTCATTTGTTGGTGCCATCATTTTTATTTTTGAAAACAGAAAGTTCTTACCCGAGTTCTAGAGGAAGCAGGCTATGCAAAGGATTCTTTGTTAGTTCTAGCTGACTTCATGAAGGTAAATACCATTTTTAGTGTTTAAACTATGGGTAAATTACATGAGTCCCAAGATTTTCGTTTTGTAGTAATTTTGTCCCTATTAAATTTTCATCTTACTTGTCATCCCCAATTTCAAACGGTCCTTCTCAACAATGTCCATCCATTTCTTCCATTAAGTATTGCAGGTGCACTGCACATGACCGCAGGGAAAAATATACATCATCATAAAGTTATAATTTAACAATTAATAAAATCGAGAGACAAAAAAGCAAAAATTAGAAAAATGGGGAAATTTTCATCTTCTCCAGCCCACCCGTTTCCCCATCACCACCGAAGCTTTTACAATCGAATGGTCGCTGCGACCATATCATCTACAATCACACATTTTCACCCAATTACAATTGAGAATGAATAAGACATTGTTTGTATTTTCCTTTTTGTGAAACTAAGACCCTATATCATAACTGGGAACAAAAGGATTTAGATTAAAAAAATAAAAGTTGGCAGGTGCGCCCCCAATAGGGGGATGCCAAACAATCCCCTGGATGTCCAAGGAATTGTTCATAAAGCTTCAGTTAGGATTTTCTGTGGTGTTGGTGGAAATTTGTTTTGGGGAGTGGACATGGTGGCGGAAACGGTCGACAATTAGAACTTAAAACAGGGGTGGTAGTGTTGGTTTTTTTTACTATAGAACTATTCTTGCACCTAGGATGTTGTTCAGATCTCAGCAAGATGACGTGAAAGTGGAAAATGTGATTGGATAAAATGCCAAAAATGAAAGAAATGAGCAAAAATGAAGATGAAGAGAGGGAAATTAGTTAATGAGCAGAGTGTGGGTAATTCAATTGAGGCAACTCAATTTCATAGAACTTTTGCGTTAGAATGTATTCACGTGAAGGATTTTCAAGAATTGTTTTACCTCGAAGTTGAAGATGACGAGGGACAATGAACAGCAAAATCTATTAGCATTAATAATTCAAGATTAGGAATAATGACGTTTTGCAGGTGAGAGAATCATGTAAAATTTTTATTATAGAATCTGACTTGTAATTTAGTACTTGTGGTGTAGATGGTGGCGGCAACAGTAGACGATTAATTTTAGGGGTGGTTGGGAGTAGCGACAGAGGTCGTTGTTGGTGGTGGTGCTGATTTTTCTCCTTCTATATTCTTTTTTCATTTTCCTTTTATTTCTATTTCCTTTATGTCTTTTCTTTTTTAATCTCTGTTTCCTTGTTTATTCTTAATAGTTTTAAAAATATATATACATGTGCTATTGACAAAGTTGCCTTCTAGAAAAAAGTAAAGTTGTAAGAATTAATGAAAGGTTGGGCAAGGCAAGCAGGATAAAAATTGAATGGGGTTGAAATTGCTAGAAAATGGATAGGTTGGGACCCATAATATAATTTACCCTTCAAACTATTGAGTGAGACTTTAGTGTTTGGTGTTTAGCCCGTTTAAATTATTTGCCTATACTTCAAAGTAGGAACATTTTCAAATTCTCTTGTAATAGCTATATCTTAAAGTATCTCCAAGAGATTCTTTAAATACGAGATAGTCAATCTTTAAAATCATATTCCAATAGACTCTTTAAATTAACATTTTAATTTAGAGAATGATTTGGAGAATCAAACTTACTCTCTATAATTAAATACATTCAAAGTGTTTCAATTTTCAATGTAGAAGAATAATAAAACAATATAGTGAAAAGTTAGTTAAAATAAAAGATAAGGAAAAATAATGAATATTTTTTTTGAAGTAGTAAAATTAAGTATTAAATATAAAGACCATGTTGGAGCACTTCAAAATTTTGACTCTCTAAATTTATTGATGCTCTTCAAATGATAAAATATGATCTTTAAAAATAGAGAGGATTAATACTGTAATACTGTCCGAATACAAATTTTTCTCACTGAAGTCGTCACTTGTCTCGTGCACAAATTTAGTCTCGCTTGGTCGCTCATTACAAATGAACCCCCCTTGGTCTTTTATAGTTCCAACTCTTAAGAATGGACAGTGGTACCCGGCAGGCTTTGGTGCTGCACGCGAAACTCCTGTCTTGTGCCTTTGGTCCCATCACATCGTTAGTCATTCACCTTTGTCCAAACCTATGCCCCCTTGCTTGTGGTATCGGTCCCTTGCACACTCCTTGCCTATCCTCGAGGGTTGGCTTGGATGCAGGTGTTTGTTGCATCTTCGGTGCAAATGTTGCCTGCCAGACTTGTCACAGCATGAGCGTGTCACTCTCTGAGTTTTCCCTTTAAGATTTAATATATGATCAGCTATTCTGCATTAAAAACCTATCTCACCCTTTGTCCATCATTAATAGTGTCATCATAAATTGAGTAGTGGGTTTAGCCTTTGTTCCTTACTCGAAACTTTATTCCTGCATGTTCACTTATGTTTGCTGAACATGGTTAGTACATCTTTTTAGACCTCATTAGGAAGTGGGAATAGGGGTATCCATAAATTGCAGAAGACAGCCCAAAAGCATATGCTCAATTGACTACACATTATAGTTTGGCAACTTCTTTTTTTTTTTTTTAATCCTTCCGGCCATAAATTTTAGAGTGTGTTTGATTACTTTGTTTTCTATGAAAATGTTATTTTTCCACCAAAATTTCTACTTTTTGGAGTGTTTGATTGACAATTTTTTTCATTGAAAAATATTAAAATATTTTCTAGCTTTTGATCATGTGACCATATTTTCCTCAAAGACAAGAAAAATATTTTCTTTAGGAAAATGTGATTTTTATTTTTCAGGTAATTCTCTCTCTCTCTCTCTCTCTCTCTCTCTCTCTCTCTCATCACACTAATAAAAAATGAACAAGTACAATATTTTTCTAAGTTGAAAACTAAATCAATCGAATACATTTAATTAATAATTTCCATACAAATAAGTTCTAGTTAATTGAATTATCTAGAATTTAATTTCTTTCCATGCAAATCCCATGTTCGCGACCAAATGTACTCTTAATGTATTTCTATTACTACAAATTTGCTTGCAAACTTTTTGTGTCTCAACATGAAAATATGTGGTATGATTTAGATAAGAGCAGACATATATGTCTTCAATTTTCTTTACTACTCGCAGATTGTTGGCAACTCTGGCTTGAAGATGGAAGTCGAGGTTCCTGTAGATTAGAGCACAAAATGACTTGTTTCTGTGGTGAAAATCTCGAGTAGTCTACTTCTCTGAAATATGGATCCCTTATTTCTTAGGTTAAGATTTCTCCATTGAAACGTTTTTAGTGAAAACTGGCTTTTCCTGATGGAAAAAAACATAGAAAGTGTAAATCATCAGTCATGAAAATTTTAGATTGTTCATGGTTAACTAAGATTTTAATTAGACATATAACTGCTATATACATTTCTTGATCACTGGAAAATCCTCTGAAAGCTTAATTTTTGGTCATTGAAAGTCTGCGAGCGACATATAACTCATCATGTTCTAATTTAGTCATATCAGCATTTCACTTGTAGTGTTAGGAATTTGGAGTCCAAATATTTTACGTTTAAATAAAGTGCAAAGATGATGTTAAGAGACGGGTAGTTTTTTATTGAGAAATGCTATGTGTACATAATGATGTAAAAAAAGTATTACACCCCCTCACATGGAGGGAGGTTCACATACTATAAAATATTCGTGGGCCCCCCTCCACGTGAGCGGGATGTAATCTATTGGGTGGTTTCATAGGCATTATGTTTTTCTTTTGTTTTCTTATTGTTGCTTTTGTGTTCCTAATTTTTATTTTACGTTAATTTTGTCTTCGACTTTTCATTTATTAACACATCTTAACCATAATTATGATTCCTCTAAAAAAATATACTATTTTCGTGCTTTGATGGGAAAATATTTGTTGTACTTTTGTATTTATTATTTATTATTTTTTAAAATACGAGGAAGAAGTCAGTGTTTTTATATTATCTTAACGGAATACTTCGACAGAAAACGTTGTAGAAACAAGTATAATAAATAAAATCGATAAAGTGAAACCATATGCATATATTTATTAAAGTCATGGAGTAATGGGAGTTTTTTAATATCATTTTATATACATGAACTACTTACAGCACCTTCATATTTGGTATTTCAGAAGTGGAGTTCACTTTCAAACCGTTTTAAAAATTTCGGTAAAACTTGTTTCACCTAAGCCAATCTTTTATGCGAATCAGTTCGGAAAAGAGAAATCATAAATCAATTGAAAAGGAGAATACATGAAAAAGATTTATGTAACTCTGAGCTCGGGTGTCAAATTTATGTGAGCGGGTACATTTCAAAGGTGTTTTTCAATTCGCACATCTTTTGTCGGGGGATGATTGGCCTTTGGCCAACATCGTCAAACTTTCAAGGTCAAATATCATCGTTGATGGGTTCTTATTGTCAATCAAATTTATCTGCAGAATTAGGATTTCTCTTTAATTGGGATTCATTTGAACTTTCTAAATATTTGTCAAGGACATGAAATCTCTACAAAAATTTTGACTAATAATATTTCAATTTCCCGTTAATTGGTGAATTTTAATAGTTCTTACATATGTTCGAACAAAATTTACCAATTTCTAGGTTTTTTGGCTAGATTATAAAAGAAACTTTCTTTGCCTTTTATAGCTTCAAATGAGAATAGACAACGAAAATCTATCATATTCTCCTGTAAAGATTTAAAAGCTTAGGGCTTCTTTGGTTGTGATTTTGAGAATTGATTTTTTGACCATTAGAGAGAAAAGTGGATCCTACCTGTTAGAGAATAAGTCAAAATGACGATTGAAATAGCAAAATAATGGTCAAAATTTGATTTTTTGAAGAGAAAAATCACTACCAAACATGTACTTAATATATTTGGAACCATCCACAATGCATGATCTTTTCCGTTCTTCATGTATAGTATTGCTATCATTTTATCTAAAAGTTATAAATCATGACACCAATGCAATCCATCGTATATGAGGGAAAAACTCACAGGCCAGACATTATGGGGCAATTCAATTTTCATGTTTTAAGTTTCACATTTCAAAACTCAGGTATTAATTAATTAATTGAATATATTAAGATCACAATTATACAATTAATGGTTATATGTGTGTACTTATGTCACAACATCATATATTATCATATTAATTGGTCACAAATTATTTTATAGTCACAATCAAAACTTTTGATAAGTCACAATTTATTTCATAGGTCATAAAATCAAAAAATTATAGGTCTCAATTTATTTGTCGGTCATATATTTTCAAATTAATTGGTTACATTATTTTCCAGTAACAAATTGTCGAATTTTTAGGTCACAATTAAATAGTTGATGATAAATAATCAAATAGTTGATCACATATCACCACCACTAAGACTACCACCATAACCACCACGGTCACATGCGACCACGATCACCACCACCACGGCCTAATAGTGCCATCAACACGGTCCCACCGCCAACAATATAAACACAGACATAGCCCAAAACAACTATAACCAGCACCCAACAAAAAAATCTTGAACAGCACTACCACCACAAAACTAAAACTACTATACAACACCAACAATCAACAGGCAAATCTCAGTTCGCGCTGGTTAGTCAATTCAGATCCTTGCTGGTTAGCCAACTCAAACCACTACTCACTACCAACCAATTGACATGCATCCCATCACCATTGCCATCATTGAAAACTAGTTTACCGCCTGAAAACTTAGCGGTTGCAAGCAACCCAAACCAATAGATGTAGGTGTTGACCTACGGTTGACTTCACGTTTTGATTATAACAAACATCTTGCTTATATCGTTAACAATCGCATTTGAGTGATTATAGAAATTATGGCAAGCTTGATCAATTGAAGACGAAAAGTTTTCCATTGAAACACTCGCGAAAAGATGAGCAAATGCAAGACGAGATAAAAGCTGAGTGTACACATCAAATTATTCAAGACTTACACTTCATCGAGTTCCGACATTGAAGACATTAGATTTAGACTTCTTGTATTCACGTGTAAAGATAAAACGCTTTAATAATTAGCAATACTGTTTGAAGCTTAAAATAAATCTTTAAACAATGCATGGAATATTTTCACATGCAAAATTATTTTTCAAAAATACAAACTTTATTGCACATTTGAAAATGTCAAAAACCTTAAAAATAAGTTTTAAAAGTATTTCTAAAGAGGTCATGGTCTTTCCTAATGATCAAAGATAATTTTTTTTTTTTGAAAAAATGGTTGTAACAAACGCGTCCGGTAGAGCCGGTTTGTCCAACGGTCCAAATAGTGACCTTTCTAATTTCTGACAAAAAACGACTAGTTGACCGTCCGATAGGTATTGGACGTTTGGTATTGGTTGTCTAGCAGGACAGATATTTGACGATTTTACTACTGTAAATACCAGATCAATTTACATTCAATATAGAACTTCGAAGAGCATTAAAAGTGAGATCTTCTTGAGCTTGAATATTTGTTTTATACTCTTTACTCATTACTTATCTCTATCAATCCATTCATACTTGAAAAACCTTTGATTGATTCAACTTTTGAAAATCATTTTATCAAAATTTTTCATATCTAACATTTGAGCTTCATTCATTTCCATTCATTAAAGTGTTAGCCTATTTTTATCTCATTATACTCAACTTTGATATATTTATTTATTTAGAGAAAAGTTTCAAATTGTAAATTTAAACTTGTGGGTCGTGTTGAAGTCCTGTAAAAGATCAACATTATAAAAGGATCGGTGCTCCTTCGTTGTAAGTCACCGGAAGTTTTGTAAAAGGGTTGGATTGCACCATAAGTTAATCAATATAGTGAAAAAAGCCTTGCTCGTGATGGAGAGCTTGATAACGGAGGATGTAGATCGGTTGAATTGGATCGAACCTCCGATTAAACCGTTTGCATTCTCTATCCCTTTTACTTATTAGCTTTACATTACTTTCATTATTCAATTTCGTATTTGTGCAATAGATATATCTAGAATTAATTTTCGAAAAAGTTTTAAAAACCAATTCGCTTCCTCTTGGTTAGTCAATCTTAGCCTTTCAGCAAGCACGACGCTGCTCGAAAACTCGTGAGGTTGTGTGCGCAGCAGGGCAACTCGTGCGGGGTGTTGCTCGCTACTAGATCGATGACGCCAGAGAAACATTAGTCATTGATCTATAGTGCTAAAGAAGAAAAAATAAGATAGGAAAAGAAAAAAAGAGATGGGCTAGATGCTCTTCCATAACATTAGCCAGATTGGTGACGCCCAACACGGGTACGTCATGAGCCCATTGACTGGTGGTGTTTCGATGGTATTGTGTGATAGAGAGATTAAGGAGAGGGAAAAGTGATACAGAGAGAGAATGGAATCGGAAAAGTGATTGGGGTTTTAGAAATTTGGTGAGGTAGAATGAGGTAGGATGGGGTATGTAAATTAATTTAATTTTATAATAATATTATTAATTGAATAGTACCTGATTTTTTAGTAAATAAACCTTACACTTTGTGTTGAATTGTGATATTTAAAAACAAGGTGTGGTGTAAATCAAGCTCATCAGATCCATAAATCAAGCTCATCAGATCCATTCCATAAACGTGCTTATTCATTATCCACCTTCGAGCTCTAATATCAATTGATATGGACCAGCTCTGAATTGACGTTTGAAAAGTCAAAAATAGTTTTTTGAGTCCCAAAAGTTGATTTTGGATCCGTCTGATTAATTTTATGAAATAACTATTTAGATAGAAGAGCTTTTAGATGAAACTAATCCAATGTCACTTTCCCTAAAAGTATTTACAAAATAAGATATTCTTTTAAAAATAGTTTCCAAATACAAATTAAGGCAGCTTTCTGTAAAAACATTTCGTAAGAAAGAAAAGCAAAAACTATGTCAAACAAGCCCATAAAATATTATTCCTGCTCTCCAAAACCTATAGTTCATTTCATTAATGAAATGAAATTCAACATACTTCAGCGAGGATCAAGTTTGAAATTCACTCCCCATGGGAGATGGTGATAAAATTTCTTCTGAAAAATTCTATCACCATTTCAAGCAAGTTTCTACGTTAATCTCAAAGTCTGTGACCATTCTACTAAGCAAAATTATTTGATTATATATACAACACACACACGCACTGTTATACGTTTTTCAACAAAGACCCAAACTCGTGCCATGTGGCAGACGGACCCATGAAGGTGACCGAGTGGGATATTCTTGTAGCCAAACCCCTGTGGACGAGCTTCTTATGACTGAACACGTATTCTTTCCAACCTCACAACAGTCGAACCCTTAAGTCTGAATCATCACGCGAGAGCCCCAACAGGAGGGGCGGCGCTAAACAAGATTAATTGACAGAAAATCCTTCAAATCAAATCTAGTGTTGCGACTGATTTGACTACTCCTCGACATTGCCCATAGCCAACCTATTTGGTTAAATCTATTGCTGCAAGCTAAGAGTTATAGAAGGCAAATTGGTATTACCATTTAAGTCTTATGATTGATTGATGCATATGATGGGAAGTTATGCCCACATGGAGGAGGCCACGTGTCTTCTCATCCGACGATTCTCACTCACTATCCGATA